CATAATCACTAAAAAGCCATGTGGCATAATCAACAAAAAGCCAAGCGTCATTGTTAAGAATAAAATTAAACTTAACCTTTTTAAACTTAAAAAACTTTTTAAAATTTTGAATTAATTAGTTACTCTTTTTGAATTAATAAATATAAATATATTATAATTAGCTATATTAAAAAACGAAAATATAAAAAAAATAACTACCCATTCAAATTGGGGAGTAGTTTATAGTTGGTGTTTCAAAGTTATTTTAAAATAAAAAAAATGAATAATAATAAAAAATTAAATTAGCTACAATAAAAAAATGCAAAAAATTAATTATTGTCTTACCTTTTTAACCAAAAAACTTTTTTAAATTTTGAATTAATTAGTTACTCTTTTTGAATTAATAAATATAAATATATTATAATTAGCTATATTAAAAAATGAAAATATAAAAAAAATAACTACCCATTCAAATTGGAGAGTAGTTTATAGTTGGTGTTTCAAAGTTACTTTAAAATAAAAAAATGAAAAATAATAAAAAATTAAATTAGCTACAATAAAAAAAACGAAAATATTAATTAAAAAAACCTACCTATTCAAGTTGGGGAATAGTTTCAATTTCGAGTTTTAGAATTATTTTAAAATAAAAAACTAAAATAAAGAAATAAAAAATTGCCAATTCAAATTGGGGTTAAATCACTTTCCATTTTTTATTTTAAAATTTTATATATATATATATATATATATATATATATATGCACATACACACTCACACACACATATATATTTTATAATTAGCTATAATATAAGATAAAATAAAATAAAAAACTATCCATTCAAATTAGGGAGTAGTTTCAAGTTGGAGTTTTACAAATATTTTAGAATAAAATAAAACAAAAAAAATAGATATAATAAAAAATATCCATTCAAATTGGGGAGTAGTTTCAAGTTGGAGTTTTAAAATTATTTTAAAATAAAAAAATAAAGAAACTTTCAATTCAAATGAAAAAATACAAAAATATAAAAATACTGTAGCTAATTTATATATAAGATAAGCATTATATATATATACATATATATATATATATATATATATCTTTATACTTTTGATGTTATAATTTAGTAAAAAAAAATTTACTTTATTTAAATTTAGCTATAATAAAAAATATCCATTCAAATTGGGGAGTAGTTTCAAGTTGGAGTTTTAAAATTATTTTAAAATAAAAATAAAGAAACTTTCAATTCAAATGAAAAAATACAAATATATAAAAATACTGTAGCTAATTTATATATAAGATAAGCATTATATATATATANAAGAAACTACCCATTTAAATTGTGGAGTAGTTTATAGTTGGTGTTTCAAAGTTATTTTAAAATAAAAAAATGAAAAATAATAAAAAATTAAATTAACTACAATAAAAAAAAACGCAAAAAATTAATTAAAAAAAAACCTACCTATTCAAGTTGGGGAATAGTTTCAATTTCGAGTTTTAAAATTATTTTAAAATAAATAAATAAAAAATTGCCAATTCAAATTGGGGTATGGTTTCAATTTGGAGTTTTAAAATTATTTTAAAATAAAAAATGGAAATAATAAAATAAAAATTGCCAATTTAAATTGAGGAGTGATTTCTTTCTAATATAGTAGTCTCTCTCTCTCTCTCTATATATATATCTATACACACACATACATATTTTATAATTAGCTATAATATAAAATAAAATAAAAACTACCCATTGAAATTAGGGAGTAGTTTCAAGTTGGAGTTTTAAAAAAATAAAAAAATAAAGAAACTTTCAATTCAGATGAAAAAATACTGTAGCTAATTTATATATATATATATATATATATATATATATATATATAAACTATTTATCTCTTTATACTTTTGATGTTATAATGTAGTAAAAAAAATTTACTTTATTTGAATTTTTAATAAACTACAAAATTTGAAAACATCAAATAAGTATGACCGTAGAAAGGAATGTATGAAAAGAGGGGGATAGAGATTTTATGATATATACATTTTGAATTAATTAAAAAATAAAAGATAAATACATAACACTCAACAAAAGCATCAATAATACTAAGTACTTCCTAATTCAATAATAGAAATAAAAAGGAACAACTAATTTATTTGATTACTATATGATTTGTATCCTTTAATTTTTTGTTGATTGTATTATATTTCTGCACACTATATTAAATAATAAAATACAACTAATATTTATAAAATTAATATAATATATTAGATTATAATTTTATTAGATTAATATTCTGTCAAATTTCTGTGCATCGTGCGGGTTGTTATACTAGTAGAAAAGAAAAGTTAAAGAGTTGACCAAGAACATTTCTGTCCAAGCTTACTATTTAGTCAGTCAAGCAGCAAGTAGACAAGCTTCCTAGACTATGTTTTTGTCAGATGTGCTTATGATCTTATGAGACTGACTGATCTAAACTAGGCAAGAGTATGCATTTTGTGCTCGGGGAAATCAAGTAAAAGTTTGTATATTGAGCAAAAAGGCAGAGAGTCCCTATTAATCTACTCTGTTGGCTGCAACTCTAAGGAAGGAAAAACTTAGTACCAATTTGCTAGGTTCTACTTTAAAGGCAGAGAGAGAACAGGATCAGGTCAAATAGAGACCTTATAACATGACCTTTTTATAACTCACGGATTCCATTATTAGGAGAAAAATATACCTGAGAATATCATTTCCCCTGATAATAACTTCCAGCGGCTTTTCTCATACTCCCTCTGGTTCACAATAAGTGTCCAATTTGCATTTAGCACGCCCATTAAGAAAATACTAAATTCTATACAAAAATACCTACTATGACTAAACTACTCCTAATTAAACATTTAATGTGGGGAGTAAGAAAACTTTTTAGGGATATGTACATAGGGGTTATTTTGTAAAAACAAATTGAATTCTTTCTTGATTACATAACTGGACAGTTATTTTGAACCAAAATGAAAAAGCAAATTGGACACTTATTGTGAACCGGAGGGAGTAATAAACAAAATTATCTCATAACAGATTCCAATCTAACTTAAAATATATTGTCAAATTGAATGGGCAAACAAAGAAAAAATAAGCACTTGTACCTGTGCAGGAGTCGGAAATAAGTGAGCAAACTCCTCGGGGATATTTCCAATTGTCATTTGAAATAAGCTAGTTAGCGCATTCAATTGTGATCTCATGTTTGCCATCACTTGCACCCATTGTGGAGGTGGAGCACTAGCGCTAGATGAGCCCATATAAGAACAACCACCTCGGCGTGATGTTTGCTTGAATACTACAGTTGGAACTGCACCCATGCCTAAGCCTCGAACACGGCCAGGGTGCTCGGGACCGAAGACTACACCAAGCGCATCATTCGGTGAAATTTCTGCCAGATTTTCTGGCCTTTGTCTTCGAATTTCTTCAATTCTTTCCTACACGAGGGACAAAATATAATTACAAAAGGAGAGAATTAGACTTTAGGAATTTAACTATAGACAGAAAAAATGGAGAAAAGGGAAGTATAAAAAAATTATAAAAGTAACACAACTGACTTTGAGAATAAGGAGACTTGAACTTTAAGGAAACTTTGCTACACGAAAATCCCCATAAAGCTGCTGCCTATTTAGCAAATGCACCTTTTGGCTATTTTAAACACATGATGTGCAAGAATAATGCAAATATGCAGCAAAGAATAAGCTGTAGTGAAGTAATGAATCTCAGAATGTTCACTGACTAACAAAATCTTATCTCATTATTTCCTCTGATATTTTGCAGTACTAAAGGCACTGTTTGTTTGTTAGGCCATGCAGAAATAGTTTAGTTTATTTTTAGAAATGTGGTGTCTCAAGAAGCTGCAGTTGCCTTTATTTTTGTCATCTAATTTGGCTCTCTTGGTTTTTATCCCTTTGGTTCTAGTTTCAACTCTTGCTTGTACATTATTAGGTAGTTCTTTTGTGTCATCATTTTCTTCTTCTTGGAATGGGATTAAGTCTGTTGGAATTTTGACCTCTTATTCTTATCTCATTATTTCAGCAATTTTGGTCTTTGTAATTTTGAGCTCAACACTTGTTCCCCTCATCTTGAAAATAAGGAAGAAGAACCAAGTTGAAATAAGATGGCAACATACCTCAGCAAGATGAATACAAGATGGGAACTGAAATACAAAATGCACAGACAGCTTTTCTTATTCTTTCTGATAGAGAATCAATGCTTCTCTTTTCCCTTTCCCATTTCACTATTCATTCCCTCTATATATAAACAAACAACTAGTAACAAATATTCTTTGCACTTTCAAACAAAGAAAAGGATTTAAGAACAGAAGAAGAAATCAAAAATTTTAAAATAGCTATAATAACAATTTTTGTTTTTTTAAAAATGAAGGGCACCTAATGATCAGTTCCATATATTAAAATAGCTATATATGAAAGACTAGAGCACCAAATAACACTTACCCCAATATCCCTAGCTTGATCATTCACATAACTCCCATCTTTCCTCTTATGAGTCTCAGTCCACACTTTGCCTCGATCAACTTCTTTCCCCATTTTCTTCTGAAATTTTAAAAAAGTAAACTTAGTTAATTAAGAATATATTAATACACAGAACGTACCAGTAAGTATGTCATATTAAACTACCATCAAATCCCTTCTTCTAGCCAGACTCATAGCACCACTAGTATGAGGAAGTGTTTGTTGTCCTCGAATCCGTTGATTTCTCAAGCAAAGCGCCTACGAGTCAAAATAGGAGAATTTCTGTTACATATAAAAAGCAACAATTGATAACTGAACTAAACAAGACACTGGCATTCATTTTGCTGCAAGCTTTAGAGAACTAAACAAGAAATGATAACTGAACTATTAGGAGCTTCACCAGCCTTTGTAGCAGACCATCTATTAGCTTTCTCAGTATCTAACTGGGCACAGTTATTGTATCTATATAAAAACAAGTCATGTACTATTCCAAGAGCATGATCTATATTAAAATGAAGTGTGTCTAATTAATGTTGATAGATATACTCAGTGATCAACTCCTTATAGTTGTTTGCCATTACAAAGTGAAAAAAAGGAGTCACTTCAAACAATACACAAATGAATGAAGTTAATCAACCATAAAAAAGCCAACCTAACTAACTACTCTGGCAACTAAACCTGGTTTTACAAAATTGGAGCTTCAATCAATAAAAATCCCTATATGGACTTTACCATAAAGTGGTACACTTGTATTATTTTAGCATAAACTTGCGTGAAACAAAGAAGAGGAAGAAGGGGAAAAAAGAGAAGCCACAGCAGTGGCAGAGAAGAAGCAACAAAGACAAGCAGTGAAATAAGAAGAAGAATACGAACCTTTGTTTTCTCTTTGAACAGATAGTTAACATACAATGCCCCTTGGTCCATGGGAATGCCTTCTGGAGCATTTTTAATGATATCTTCTTTGCTCAATAATGGATCCTCGGCCTCATGCCATAGTTTAAGCCTGAATTCCTTCCACTTTTTGTTAAGCGAATTGTTAATCCAACCTTTTACCTTTTGCTGATCACTCCTAAAGAAAAACCGAGGCTTGACAAAAATAATATATGTTAGTTTACTGCTGACAGAATTTCCAATCAACAACACAGCAACTCTTTCCAACAAAAATCTAAGTAAAACAACTATAACATACAAACTAAGCAAAAGAATTAAAAGGCATTACCAATACGAAATCATTAACAGCACGGTGCACAAAAGGTTTAGGCATTAATGCCCAACTCTCAAAGCCAATTGGAAAGTAGCGAGGATTTGTAGCAAGCTCCCCCAAAAATCCTGCAAGAATGCCGGCTGATTTTCCAATAGGTTGAGCAAACTCATCACATTCAACAATTATGCGCGATCCATTCTCCAAGTTATGGACATCGTGAACCTTCAACCTAATAGATTTTATCACTTGAAGTTCATCTGCAACAAAATAAAGACCATATTAAAATATAAATCGAGGAGTTGAACAAAGACGCGCACATCTCAACTAAGCCACAATTTTAGCATTTTATTTCTTTGCTTGCAACAACTTTTCTTCTTTTCTTGGCATTTATGCAGACCTATTCCACAATCAATTCTTCTTTCAATCTAAAGGCTACATATCTATAACATCAACAACCCAACCACGAGGCTCCGACTCCGCGTCATCTGTAACTTGTCTACGTCTAGTTGGTTGTGAAGAGACTCCATCAGATGATGAAGAAGCAATAACATTCTGTGACGAGACTCCATCAGATGATGAAGATGGAATGACATTCCGTGACGAGACTCTATTAGTTGATGAAGATGGAACGATGGGATGTGTATGACGTGAAGAAACTCGATCAGAAGACGAAGATGAAGCTTGAGCCTGAGACTGAGCATGTGATGACTGCTCTGGAGCAGGTGAAGATCTCCCTTTGATTGATTTGAATAGATTTTTCACCCGATTTTGCTTCGGCATCTCTGCATACATGATTGAACAAAGTGACAAATCAGTAATATGCAATTTCAGAATATAGCCAAAGAGCATTAAATTCAGAGGCATAAATTGCATTAAATTCTTCCCTGAGGTTTTATGCTCTAACAGATCAGATGATACACATTTCAGCCCATTGTTAGAACATCCAAGCAGAAAAAATAGTAGCAGTAAGCTCTGTACAACAAAAATCAGCTACGGTACAGACAAAGCTAAGAGAATCCAAAGACATAACAGTAGAAACAGAATAAAGAAGAGAATGTATAAACATGCAACATGACTCTACTTCTCTGTATAAGGAGCAACTTTAACTTGGTTTAAACTAAGCAATAAGCACAAGCAAATAAAATTTAAGGGAATCAAAACAAATAGAAACCAACTGAAATTTCATTAATAAAAGAAAGTAGCTAAATGAGTTGGCAGTGGGTCTTCAAATATGTTCATCTTCCCCAATCTCATCTTCAATATCGCATTCACCTAATACTTCATCAATTTCATCCTCCCGACTCAAAATTAGATCATTCACATCATCAAAGAATTGATCTAACTCTTGCACTGGAAATGGTTCATTCTCAGGAACTTCATTCTCTCCTTCTCCCATTTCATATAAGTCTCTTGGTTTCAAGTGAACAACAGTACTCCATCCTTTATTCACCTCATCATCCACATAATATACCATTTGAGCTTGTGAAGCTTCAATATATGGATCATGCTCTTCACGATCACCAATGTGAATCAATTGTGAAAAATTAACAGAAGGAAATCCCCATGCATCCTTTCTAAACCCTCTATTCCTAGTTGTGTCAGCCCATTTACACTTGAATAGTGTAACCCTAAATCGATAGTAGTTAAGCTCAATGATGTCTTCTAATTTGCCATAATATGGCAAATCTGCTTGCCTCAGGTTTCCATCAGCACCACTGGCAATACAAGATGTGGACGAAGTCAAAAAAAAACCACTGTTTTGCGTTTTCAACCCATGCTCTCGAGTTGTTGTCCGAAATTTGAACCCATTGATCTTGAATGATGTAAACCTTCTAGCATATGGTGCTGGACCATCTGCTAAAAACTTTAGTTCATCAGACATAGTATTTGAAATGTCTGGATTAACAATCTGAAACAAGAATGTAAAATGTGTTAGTCACAAATTTAAAGTTATAAAATTCTAATACATTTGTAACCAACCTTTCGAGGAAACCAATCAATAAAGTCTTTACTAACTATCTTCTCTATCTCCGTGTTTGAAGGCTTTCGTCCCTTCCACCGCCTCCGCACATAAGCTTTAAATTCACTAAATGAGATTTTGATATAAATATAACAATTAACATAAGTTTTTATGTATTTAATGCAAGTTTAATTTAGATTTGCCTTAACTACTCACTTAATGAATGGCATGACTTGTGGACAATTTGGTAACACAGCTGCTCAAAAGAAAGGATAAAGTTAACTGACAAGAGCTATACCTATCAAATATAATTTTGTCGACGTCGATCCCAATAGCTTTACCAGCTGTTTTAGATTCCTTGGCTACCTATCAAGGCCATAAATGATATTTAGGTTAATATTAGCAGAACAAAAACTAAAAATGTCAAAATTTAGACAAACACAAACTTAATTGAACAGAAAAGTAACAAAACTTGACACAAAAATAAACGGAAAAAAAAAACTATTAGCAGAAATTGACAGCTAAAACAGCGAAATCGGCCGACGAATCAATAAAATTGATTGCCAAACGGTGAAATTGATGGGCTTAAGCAATGAATCGACAGCTAAAATCAGTGATTTAAACTGATCTTTGTCCAATACACACAGATGCACGCCTAAAATCAATGAAATCAATGGCTAACACAGCAAAATCGAAACCTAAATCAGTGAAATTCACGGCTAAAATCAGTGGTTTAACCTGATATCCATCCAATACACACACATGCATGCCTTAAATCAGTGAAATCAACGGCATTTTGGAAGGAATTACACGAACGACTTGAAACCGGAGACGTATTGAAGTGAGTATTTATCAGAAAAGGGCTATTTATAGACGAATTCAAACACATTACCTTAAACGAGTTGAAATCTCATCTCCTTACATCATTGTAATCTCCTTTGACCTCTTATATTACAGTGATTTAATTTGGGGAATCGCTTGTTTAGAGAGAACGAGAGAGACGGTGTAGAGTCTAGAGAGAGAAGGTGTGTCTGTTTAGGGAGCTTTAGCTGTTTGAATGATATTTAAGTTATTATTAAATTTAATGCTAATAATTTTAATAATGTTACTGAATAATAACATTAAAATTAGCGGAAAAGAATTATTAAATTTCGTCTAATTAGTGGCGGTTTAGAACCTATGTAATTGTAAAAAAATGCTGGTTTAACAAATTACGCACTAATGGCATCTGGAATACCGCCGTATTATGATAAATATTGCGGCGGTTTATTGGAATCGCCGTTATTTAACCGCCGCAATAATTCCGGTTTTTTGTAGTGTATGGGGGCAAAGAACTGTTTGTTGCTCAGCAGATCTTGCAAAACTGGGAGTTTGTACACAAGGAGAAATAATTCACCGCCCATCTACTGATAATCCTCATTGGCCTCGAGTATTTGGTGCCTCAGTTTGGCATTGATGAGCATGAAGCAAAACTGCAGCCTAGAACAATACATATTACAGAAACGGGAATGTAAATTTTATGCAATGCGACCAGGAGGTTGTTGTTGAAGGGAAAACCGTGTGGAAAAATCCTACTGGTTACCTACCTGGTAGGATGGCCCCACTTACGAACTTTTATGGGTTCATGTCTCTTGTGTTTGTGTTACTTGGGATCTTTTGGTTTTCACGTATGATTATCTTGATGGTCTCTATGGGATATGGTGTTGTTAGACCAACTCTTGGTGGCCTTATGTCAAAGGTCCTTTTGCTAGGATGAACTTTCTTTCTGGCATCGGAAGTGCTTAAACTGGTAGAAAATATTGGTACTGTTAACGATTTCTCAGGAAAGGCAGGTTATTTTTTGTACTTTCCGTGGTCATCTTGGATGCTTTCTTTATCCTTTGAATATTCACTTCCCTATCTGCAATGTTGAATAAGCTTCAGGTACACTGGCCTATACTTTTATTTATAACTTAGTATCAATTATCTGGTCTATAAAAGGGTTCCCATTCCACATTTCCTATTATCTTCATGTATTTGTGGATGACCAGAAAGCTAGAGATGATACAAGTTACCTTCATATATTCTGGGTTAATTTGTAATACAATGTTAATTAGCTCTCTTTTTTGTTACTCATTGTTGCAATGATTAATGCTGCCGCATTTTGTTAGCTTGGTTATTAGCTCTCTTTTGTATGACTATTTAGTTTAGCTGCATTCAAAGGCAACACTCTCTATCATGATATACACTTAGTTGTTTCCATTAAGTGAAGAAGCTTCTTCACACGGTCAGATCATTATCTTTTATTAAGAAGTGGTCTGCTGATTATTTTATCTTCAATATTGAAGTTAATATAACAAAATGATTCTTAGTTATTCACTTATTTATAAATATTCTTTTGTATATCTATTTAGATATGGTTAAGATGGGACTTCTACCTCTCTGCCAAGGAAGGAGCATTTAATGTGGTACTTGAAATAGAGGACGAATTTACCTTTTCTTTTTTCTTGAGGAATTTGGGTTGAGGGTTTAATCATGACACGACTTCATTTTCTTGACCATTATTACTATCAACTATCAAGCAATGGTAGTTAATTGGCTGATGTTGTGAATTGACAGGCTAGAAGGTAGTTGGCCAAGATAGACATATACCGGAAGTTCACAAATGCACTGGCTGTGGCGGTTATTGTTTCTGTTGGTTGGGTATGTTATGAGGTAATATTGGCTATCTCCATATTGAAGCCGATATATTGTTTCAGTTCCTTCAATCTAAGATAGTTGATTCTTAGCTTTTGTCTGCAAAATAGCCAAGTGATGGCTACACAAAAGTGATCTTTTGCGAAGAGATCTGAATTAAAAAAGGAAAAAGGCCAAACCTTTTATTCAACTTGTCCCTTTCAAGAGTACATGGAATAAGCTTTTGAAACAATAGCCAAAACGTGGAGCTCTCCGGTGATCTAATAATTTGACCTGCAATTTTAATTTGATATATGTGTTTGTGTCCGTGTGTGGTGAAGGACTTCGGTCTCATCAAACAAACATGAAGAATTGAAATAAGGTGCTTACGGGATAAGATGGTTCTTTAGTTAAAGGAGTCACAGTTATATTGTTATTCATGTCTAATTTCATCTATTCTTATGTCCATTAAATAAGTAAAAGCATCACAATTCATGTTATCTTTTTTCTTCATCTCAAAAAAAATAAAAATCATGTTATCTTTTTTCTTATTCAGGAATCTTTATGAAATCTAGACAAACTATGTTTTAGAAACGGATTAAAGTAAATCCAACATAGAGGGATAATGAATAAGTAAGTTCAACTAGTGCAATGGCAAGGAGAGCTATTCCATGAGCTGAAGCAAATAGTTAGCTATAGGAATTCTTATGTTCCTCGATGCGAAATATATTGGGCATGATTGTGGACTTTGTGTGAATCCTTGAAGATACAGAGCAAATCATCTAGAAATTGAAATGCACTCTTATTACATACTCGTACTTGAGTTCATATAACGTAGTTTCCTTGTCCTCCTAATGTTCCCTATTTGTATGTTACCAAGCAAAAAATTAGAACTTGTTTTTTCGCTGGCAGCTGTACTTCAAGTCCACTAATGTGTACAATGAGTGATGGCAAAATATGCAATGAGTGATGGCAAAATGTACAATGAGTGATGGCAAAATGCCTAGATCATTCTTGCCTTCTGGCAAGTGCTGTCTTTCTCTCTCCTTTGCGTCATCTGTGCACTTTGGGCTCCATCTCAAAACTCCATGAGGTAATACCAGGCTTTCTATCTTTGTAATGCATGTATTAACTTGAGTTCACAGAGCTCTTCCTGTGCAATTGCTTACCCAATAACATTCTACAAATGCTTGTTTTAAGGCAAAATACCTTAAATGTCACGACCCCAGGTATTTCTAGCCTAGCATGCTGAACATAATCCAAATAGGGCAATTTGAGCAAGTAAAGCAATTAAGTCAACTTAACATGCTTTCCTAGGCTAATAGCAAGCTTAAATTACACAAGGTATGAACAGGAAAAAAGGAAATCACATTTATAGTTACTTAAAGAAAACGTATTTTCAATAATTAGCACAAGTACGCACTCGACGCCTCACGTACAAGGCTTTTCAATTATCAACAAACCAAATCCTAAGGGGAGTTTCCTCCACGCAAGGTTAGACAAGCCACTTACCTCGAACCGGCTCAAAATCAACCCGAAACCACGCTCTTGCCACGAGTACTCGACTCCAAATGGACCAAATATATTCAATTCAATTGCATAATATAAATAACACTTCAAGTAACTGATTCTACAAATAAATCCTAAGCTAATACGCGAAAATAGGAAAAATGACCAAAACGCCCTCCGGGCCCACGTCTCGGAATCGGATAAAGTTTACATTTTCAGATCCACATACCCTCACGAGTCTAACCATACCAAAATTATCCAAATCCAATGTCAAATTCCCAATCAAAACTCGAAATTTAGGTCTAAGAACTTTCTCCCAATTTTCATCCAAAATCCGAAATTAAATGACAAAACTAAGATTAGATTATAGGAATACAACTAGAAAGGGATTAGGAATCGTTACCCACTAGTTTCCTCTTCAAAATCCTCCCAAAATCGCCCTATCCCGAGCTCCAAATCAATTTTCTAACTTTTGAAACTAAACCCTTGAAATTCTTATTTCCTGCCCAGCAAATCCGCATCTGCGGTCCTTTCCTGCAGTTTCCACTTAAATCCCCTTCGCCACACCTGCGACCCAGAATCCACATCTACGGTCACGCAGGTGCGGTACACCTTCCGCTTCTATGGTTTCAGCTCTTCTTCCCCTTGGTCGCTTCTGCGGCTTGATTCCGCATATGCGGGAGTCGCACCTGCGGCCTCTCAACCGCAGATGCGGTTATGACAACAGTCATAAACTTCAGTTGTAACTCCAATTTCCCAATCTTTCCGTCAACCATCCGAAATCACCCCGAGGCCCCCGGGACCTCAATCAAAAGCACAAACAAGTCTAATACCGCTATTCAAACTTATACGAATCTTCAAAACACCTCAAACAACATCGAATCAACCAATTAGCATCGAATTCAAGCCTATGAACTTCAAAACTCTAAAAATACGCTTTCGATCAAAAAGTCTATCAAACCTCGTCCGAATGACCTGAAATTTTGCAAGCACGTCACATTAAACACTACGGAGCTACTCCAACTCCCGGAATTCCATTCCGACCCCGATATTAAAATCTCACTATCGAACCGGAAACTTCAAAAATTTAACTTTCGGCATTTCAAGCCTAAATAAGCTACGGACCTCCAAACCACAATCCGAACACGCTCCTAAACCCGAAATCATCCAACGGAGCTAACAAAATCGACATAATTCCATTCTGAGACCGTCTTCACACTGCTCCGACTACGGTCCAAATTCTAAAGCTTAAGCTCTCTTTTACGGACTAAGTGTCGCAAAACACTTCGAAACTCAAGACCAAACATCCCGGCATAACAAAATAGCGGAAACAAACACGGGGAAAGCAGTTAATAGGGGATCGGGGCGTTAATTCTTAAAACGACCGGCCGGGTCGTTACATTAAACCACCCTAAACTTGTCTCAAATTATTAGTGTCCTCCCCAAACTATGCCAGATCCTAATTACCCCCCTACACTTTGACTATATGAATTTAGAAATCACCCCCCCCCCCCATACNTCCACGTTGAAAATTTTATCTTATGTGTGCTCCACGCAGGACAAAGAAAATATTATTTTATTTTATATACACAAATCAAAGAAAAAAATTAAAATAAAATATTAGGAGTAGTCGATCATTTTTCGCCAAACATAGTAGCGAGTACTCCTCTCCCCACTCTCTCTCTCTCTCTCTCTCTCTCTCTAACTTTCTCTCAAATCCTCGCAATGTTTCCCGATTGTTTGCCGATTATCTGCAATTTCTTCTCCAATTTTCAAGTGATTCTCAGCAGTCTTCTTTGTATATTCAAGTAGACACATATAAAGGTTAGTGATTGAAACTTGATGTTTGATTAGGGTTGAAATATGATAGA